ATATATTGTAAGTTCATTAATATAATATGCAAACTAGTATTATTTTGATGTATTATATTTAAGAATATTTCTATTTTACTGTTTTATTCATAAAATAAAGAATTTATTGTGGCGATGAATACTCACCCTTACAACCATTGTTCAGAAATTAAAGTGAAGGATGATATGTTTTAAGATCATATTCTTAATGGTATTGTAAGGAAGAATCTGTTTTGTTAGGATTTAAATTGTATCAAGGTTGTAATAATTTTGATTAAGTCTTAGTTAGAAATTGATTTTGATATGTAAATAATTTTATGTCAAATTTAAACACTTAATAATAAAATTTACTGTAAATAATGATTTGAATTATATTTGTGATATTTAACAGTTAATTCTCTCAATTGTATTTTTAATATTAAATTTAAATTAAAAATATATATTCTATGTTATAAATGAGATCTATCAGTAAAGTCTTAAGATATTGATAACTTCTATTATTTTAAGATTTAAATCAATATGAATATTTTATAATTCATTTAAAATATTATCTATTTTAATTAATTTTCATTGAAATTTATGAATAAAAAGAATAGAGATGTCACATCTTTTAGTATAAATTTAATTATTAAAGTATAGTTTATAATTTGTTATTTCTATTTTTTTTGTATAGTTTTGTGAAAGGATTTATTTACAAGAAAGTTTTAATTTATCACATTTTCATACTAGTTTTAAAATAAATTCACTTTATTTCTTTTATTTTGTCATATTTTACTATACAAATTGAATATAAAATTAGGGATGTTACAACTTCTTCTATCTTCATTTATTTTGCCTTCATTTTTGTTGTCACATTCCTTCTTTGTTGTGCCCTTGTACCCTTTTTATCATTGGTTTAGCCAGTTGTATTTAATATAATAATAAAAATATTAGAAAGCAATTTAAATCACTCTAATAAGTATTACTATCTAAGTAGATGTCACTTAAAAAGTGGTTTATAAACCATTCTTCAAAGTATGTATATAAATCATGAATTTAAAATTTAAAATTTCTTTTTATGTGAGTTTTCGATTAAATCAAAATTAATTTATTGTTACGTTTAAATTTAAATTTGTATATTTAACATTTAAAATTTCTTTATTCTTATCATAAATCAAAATTAATTCTTTATCTCGCGCGTTAAAATTTGAGTTTGTATATTTTTTATAATAAATTAGTCTACATTTTATAGAATATTTAAATAAAACTTTCTTCTCAAGAGAAAATTTAATATGTTTAAGATATAAAATTACACAAAATATAATTTAAGAATATAACTTTTAATTTTTTTAAAAAAATTTATGATTTTTTTATTCGGTAACTCATTTTTTTTAAAAAAATCATAATTTTTCTACTTTTAATTTAAATGCATATTTGGTCTTTGTAGTTAATATTTATTAACAAATTAGTCCTTATAGTTAACATTTATATTTTAGTCTTTGTATGAATTTTGTTTTTTACATTTTAATCCTTCTCACATAACGACTTTAACATATTTTTAATGATAAAGATTTATCCAAAAATGTTAAAAAAATTACAAAAATACGAGACTTTATAAAAAAATTCATTAATAATTTTTGACTAAATTTTTTTATAAATTTTAAAAAAAATTATCACCAGCGATTTTTTTTTTTAAATCATGAGTGGTAATTATTTACTTTTTATAAATTTTTAATATTTTAAAAAATTGTCGGTTAGAACTTTTAAAATTTTCAAATCTCATGTTTCAGAAACTAGTCCTTGAATAAAGTTTTCTTATTTCTCTTAACTTGTTTGATCTTTCCTCTTCTTCTATCGTGGCATATTACTTTTCTTTGTAGCCCAAATTTTGGAGTGTTGAAAGGAACAAGCGAGGCTATGCAACGTTTCGAGGGTCCCCTTCTATATGGGGAATCTCATTTTTCTGAGCTTCACTCATTTTTCCACACCTTGCATATGCAGCCAGCAATAACAACAATCCATGAACGCTGCTTCTCATAGACATTTCATCAAATACCTTCTTTGCACTACGCACAACTCCAAACTTCACATACATATCAACCAACGCAGTTGCCACGTACAACCCGGCCGCGAACACCCGTCCTCCCACCATCATTCCGCCGACATACGGCTGTACCTGCTGCGTCATTATCCTCATCCTCGGCGTCGCCATTGCCTCTGGCCTCTTCTACATCCTCTACGACCCCTCCCTCCCGGAGTTCCACTTCAGCTCCTTCCGCGTTCCTAAGCTCAACGTCACCGCCGACACCCCTACCAGCGTCTCCTACATTTTTCCGAACGAGAATTTCACCGTAGCAATATCGGCTGTGAGAACCCCGTCCTCCATTGCAGCTTTAATCTCATCTCGTCTACAATATGGCTTTGGTAACGATAAGTTGTCTAATTCATCAATCTAAATACAACAGTTGTTGACGCTAGACATTAATTTCAAATATTTCTAAATTAGAGTGATTAAATTCTAAAACAAAATATTATTTTTTAAGGATAAAACTTTAATACTTTTATTGAGTTGTAATGTGATATAATATGAAAAAAATTATATTTAACAATAATTAAATTTAAAATAACAAATTAATTACTTTATATACTATATGTACTAATTTAAATTTAAAATTATAATTAATTTTTGATAAAATCTCATTTTCATAATTCTTTTAAAAAAACTGTATTTTAGTAATTTTTTTCAAAGGTTATTTATTACAAAATAAAATATAAAAAATAACGATGCATTTTTCCAATTTACCAAATCATCATTTAATAAAATTTAGTTGGTAAAAACTAATTCTAAACATTTTTAAAATGTCAATAATTAAATATTAATAACATAATTTTAAAGAAGACTAATTTTTAAAAATATTAATTTTATAAAAATAAAAAGTATAATTAAACTCTCTATAAAATATTACCACACACGAACTAATTTTATAAATATTATAAAAGATAAAAGAAAATATAATTAAGCTTTCTATAAAATATTACCCACACATGTATAAAAACTCATTTTAAAGTTACTATACAAGATATATATATATTTAACCCTCTATAAAATATTACCCGTAGTAATAGGACGTATAAGAGTTTATGAAAAGTTTTTGTTAGGTCACTTGAATTCGAATCCACTTACTCTTAAGAATAAAATATTCATTGTAAATATTAATAATTACGGATTTAGATTTAAAAATTCATGTATACGAGAAGTATTAATAGTATAATTTAAAAATATTTTTGTACTATTAATTAAAGTAATTAAAATTTATACAAATTTACTCTTAATTTAATCTCAGCTATAATTTTATAATTTTTAATAAATTTCAATTAATAATTAAAATACATTAAAAATAATAATTTAACTAAAGTAAAAAGATATGTAAATTTAAAAAGTAAATTTTTTTTTATCTATTATTAATTTATAGTTAATTGTTTTTGTAAAATTCATGAATTTCAATTAATAAAATATAAGGTCTCATATTTTTTTTTTCACTTTACACGCCTCACTTTAGAAGTTTAATCTTATTAGAAAGAATGTTTCTATCTAATTTTTATTAGAAAAATATTTATTATACTTTTATATTTTTAATAAAAAAACTTACTACATTTCAATGTTAAATTCATCTATCCAAAAATAATAAATTTTTATTGAAAAATATTTATTATATAAAAAATATAAAAGTATTATCAATAAAAATATTTATTATTCACAATTTTTTTTATTTTCAATATATTTTTATTAGAAATGCTTTTGTTTTTTAATTAATATTTACTATTTTTAAATGCTTAGACTCAATTTTAAAGATTGAGATTAACAAAATAGAATAATAAATAGTAAATTTTTATTAAAATAGCATTTAATAACATTAATATGTATTTATTTTATTTAAGTTTTATAATTTTTGATAAAAAAAATTACATATAAATTTTTACTATATGTAATATAATATTGTATAGGTTAAAAAGTAACTAATATTAAATATTTTCTTTTATAATAATTTTTTAAAAGAATTAATTTATATGACATTAAAGTGGATAAAAATTTATATATACTAAAATCTTATTAAAACAACAAAATTTAATATAATTTAATGTATTAATATTATTAAATATTATAATTTTGAATAAAAATTTACTGTAGCTAACTTGTTATTGTATATAATATAATTATATAAATAAAAGAATTATAATTTTAAATACTTCAATTTCACCCATAAAAGTTAAGATTACAAAATCTTAGGCTAGTTTTCGTGAAGAAGATGAATGCATTAATTGACAAGCCAGTTGAAAACCGAGTTGATAATAATAATACAATTTTTTAACATATGTTTAACGTTAATTACGCGATGAAAAAATATATATAATAACTTTTAATTAAAAATTAATATATTCATAATATTTAATATTATTTAATAACTTTTAATAGTATACAGCAATAATAATATACAATTCCCTGATATGAGTAAAAATACTGAATTTGATTAACCTGTGCAGTTGAGGGGTCTCTAATTTGTCTGATACAACAGAGAATAAAGAAAACATAATTATCAAGTACGAATTCTGTGAGGCTCTATAAGAGGTACTGTTGGTATACCAATTTTTGTTTGTACATAGCTGATACTATCAGTTTGGCAACCCATCACACAATCAATCAATGCTCATCACTCACCAAACTGCATCGATCTCTTTCCCTTTGGAGTCACGTTGCCTTGATCTTAACACCCATTTCTTCACTTAAGAATTCAACAACATCCTTACAAAATTTGCTTGCATTCAACTACTCAGTATTGCATTCTTAAAGAAAATAAATGAAGCCACAAGGTTGTTTTAATGCTACCAAATTTATTATCTACAGTGGAAAAATAGAATTGATTAGTTGGTCTTTCTTCATCCAGTTCAACTTGAAGTTGAATACCCCAACCAACAACAAAAATATCCATTAGGTTCTTATTTATATGATCAAAATTTAATTAGCCTATAGAACCATATGATGAATAATATGTGGCTCTGGCTCCCAGAATACCCAACATTCCAACCTGGATGGGACCAAGAAGAAATTCATGCCACATTCTTCAAATGCATCAGTTGGCAAGTGGAGGAAACCTTGGATACAATCAATTGTCCTTACCATTATTTCTGTGACAAAACATATCCTCCAAATTACCCACTTGCTGTTGATATCTTGGTTCTTCTATTCACAACAGCTTCTTATTTTGGGACTCTTGTCATAGTGATGATGGATATGAATTCAGGAAGAGGAAGAATCTTTTGGGGTCAATCAAAAAGATTCCTTTTACCCTCTGGTCCTATATCCCTCCCACTTATAATCTTAGCATTTGCAAAGGGTCCTCAAATTAACACAATATTTCCACTCTCTTGCACTGGTCCTGCAATTCTTCTCCTGGTTCTCATTTCTGCATTGTCCTTTGACAATGGAGCTGATAAGGACTTTAAGTACACTTTTTTTGTTGCATCAACAGTGTCTGGCATTTTGCATGCAAGCTTATATCTGGATTCTGTTGTGTTGCCTTATTACACAGGTTTTGATGCACTCATGTCTTCAACACTTTCAGGTGAGTGTGCATCTTGTGTATGCAGGAAAGAGGCTTTGGTTGTTGGAGGGAAACTAGTGAGGTATAGGGGTTGGTCAATGACCACATTTTTTGTTGTGGGGGTTCTCTGTTTGAGGATTATATGCAAAATCTCTGGAGAAAATGCAGGGAAATTGTTGTCCATCAAAGCCTTGATGGAAAGGTTTAGCTGGATCTTAATAACCTTTGATTGCGTTTACCTCACAGTTTACTCACCACCAGAAAGATTAATGTTGAGAGTTGCTGCTTTTGGAGGCATATTTCTTTTGATTTTCCTTCATGCCCTCAAAGAGGCAACCAGCCAAATTTACTCAATGGCTTGTGTTGCAGAAAAATTGAGATGGGTATCAACATCATTTCAAACAATATGAAGAAAAAACATAATGTGTTTTGGAAATCAATAGCTTAGTTTTGTTGTGAACCAGAAGCTGTTACATAACATGATATTGCAATCCTCTGCGAATTATGCCTATTCTTTTTTTCTTAACTTAGTTGTTTTAAGATGGCTCTTAAAATTCAATCTTTATTTTTCTTAATTTTACGTTTAATTGAAAGGAAAAAAAAGTATATAACTTGAATTTCACGCACAAACAGTACTGACAGACTTGCTCCAATTTGCTACTTTAAAGTGAGAAGACATTTCTTTTTTCATTCTGTCTATCTTGCAGTTTTCAAATTAATTATGTTCTACTTTTAATTCAAAATAGTGTACAAATTAGTATGACATCATGCACCAGGTAGAGTTAGGATGCAGAGATTGGAGAGCCACAATCAAAATTTTAAAGGGTAAGTTCTCACCTAAGTTCGTCAAGGATCATATAATTAAATAAAGAAATTATACTTATGTTCCAATTGGTTAGGCTAACAAGTTAGATGTGCTGCTCAATAATTACATAACGTTCAGTTAAATGATCCATTCCCATTTTTAGTCCCCTTCGTATATTTTGTTTTGCTACTTTTGAAGCATTCTGTCAAATTTATGTGGTAGAGAAGTTGGGATGGGTATTAAGTTCAATTCAAAACTACAATTATCAAAATCACACCGAATTTCCTTTTTAATAGCTTAGTTTTGTTGTAAAACACTAGCTATAGCTTGCAATCCTTCTCCCATTTTATTGGGGGTGAAGGAAGTGAAAAAAAATCAGAGAAATTTTTATTGTCATAGAGAAAATTACCCAAATATGCTAAACATTACAATCAATCCAAATTGTAAGGCGTTAGGTGTATGAATCACTGTCATTTAATTACAAATGTTGCTGTTTAGTACCAAAAAAATGGTATGAAATAAGTACGAAAAAATTACATGTCTCTGTTTCAATAAGTTAAAAAAATGAGAAAAAGAGGAAACATGACAGAAAACGTGCCACACGCCACATGTATTAGTCCAAAGTTGTTGGTTTTTTACAGAGCTTACCATTGCTCCCAGTGTATTTGAGCCAGCATTGATACAGGGATCTATAATAATTTAATATATTTATGTTTCTTGAGACTCAAAATCAAAATACATGTTAAACTAAAATAACATTTGTTAGTAAATTCCCGGTAGTGTCTAAATATTATTAACTACGAATTTTAAACTGATTTTCTTTGTAAATTTAGCTAAATAGGTTATATTATGGTATATTCTAATGTGAATGCATAAAGATTTTACAAATACTTTGATTTTCATATTATTATTATTATTATTATTATCTATGCTATTCGAAATTATCATTTCTTATTATACTATTTTAAATTGTATACCTTTGACCATTTGAAATGATGTCTTAAGATAAAAGGATTAGAACATGAGATTAAAATCCAAAGTAAAAAGATACAGTAGTTAACTTGGATAAACTCCACCTATTATAACATATTTGATATGCTTCAACATAAAATACTTCGAAGTATAGGTAGAACTCCAACTCGAGAAAGCAGATTAAATTAAAGTAACTTTTACTATTTGATTTATATGCTCATAGTATATAGTATAAATAAATAATCAAATGAAAATGTTAATTATTTATATCAATTAATATTTTATTATTAATATATTGAATAAAATTTATTTCAACAACCCACGTATAACATGGGAGAAATTACAAAATTAGCTTTAAGTGAAACTAACAGAAGAGAAGAAAGGGAACGTTAAAGTCACACATATTTATTTATTTTTAAGATAAGATAAATTTATTGAATTGAAGTAGAAGGAATATCTTCTACCTTTATATTTCTAATTACTCTAGTCTTGAAAACTCCCGAAACAAAAATTACACCTAATAATTGTGTCTTTCACCCACAACCTTTTTGTAAAGTAACATTCTAAGGTTGTCAACGGGTTTGATTACCATTGCTGAAAAATTATCCTTCCTTGATGACATTTTTTCCTTAATTCGCACCATTTTATTAAATGACGAAACTTCAATTAGTAGTTTCAATATCTTAACAAAAAGCTCACATTTAATGTTATTAAGTTTTACTAAACTGAAACTCTAATTTTAACTGAAAAAAAATATTAAAAATACCTAAAATAGCACATAAAATTGTCCTGTATCGAAATAAAAAACAAATTTAACTATATGTTTTGTTGGTGACTTTACGTACGTACGTTTTACTGAATATCTTTGATGATATACATAAATCATCTTCTTAAAGAATGATTGACGTATTTTTAATAGTTATATACATGCACGCTTCTACAAGAGACCTACTGGCTATATATCTACTCACACATGTATGTGGTCAGTTAATAAGTAAGATACTAAATTTCCATGAGAATAGGTAAGATATACATGGAATATAACTAAGATTAACAGTGAATAGGTATCTAGTAGAAGTAATAATCCACTATCTCTTTTGGATCATACCCATAAAAGCATACGGTTCGTTGTCCAACACACCTGAAATTTGATGTACATAATAGATTTAAAACAACTGAAAAGCAACTTATTATTGTCAACTTTATATATATATATATATTGCAGTATGATATTCCACAGGAAAATGGCCGGAAATCTGCGTTGATAACATCAAGTCACCTAATTCACTGAAGAAAACTTCATCTATTGCTCTGCAAGTCATCCCGATTCCATAGACACATCATTGAAGATTGATAATTAGTATAAAATTAATAATTAGAAAATTTAATTGACAAGTTAATTTTAATCTGCAATGCTCTCGTGAATTCTAAGGGAAAGGAAATATTTTTGTAATTGTATTTTACTATTATTTGAGCTTATTCGAATGGTATTTCTTTTATGCCTTCCGGGGACATCATTGATAAGAAAAGAAGAGAAAGTGATAGATATATATGATGCATGAAAAAAAAAAAAGAAGCTAAAAAGAGGAATAAAATTAGATTGTGAAAAAATGGTACAGATACTCACTAGAAGACACACACTCGTATGTACGAATCAACTAAATTTTTGGTCCACATATATGGATCAACTTTATGCACATTGATTGAACTTTACGTACGTGAGTTACTTTATCCTAAATATTAAAATTGCTTAGAATCTTGAAGAAACTACATACTCCTCATTAGCCAAGAAAAAAAAAAAATCAATGTCTTGAAACTTTCTTCAACGGAATATCTATATATATGCATGCAAATCTATAAAAAGAAATGTGATAAGAAATTGAGAGCATTGGCAATTAAGATATAGTTGAATTAATACCATTGTTATGGTTGTGGGGCTGTGCCAGCTGAAGATATGGATGAAGGTGTGGAAGCACAGGGGAAGCAAGTTGAAGGATGCTACCAGCAGGTTGCTCTTCAAAGAATGGGAAGTGATCCATTACTTGCACTGGTTTGTTTGCTTCCACTGTAGCCTTCTGAAACTCCAACACTGCTCGGTGCTCCTGAATCTTGGCAAGTGTTAACAAATACAAAATATATCATCTATATATATTAAGCTGGAATATTATGGCTAGTTTTTAATATACGAAAAAATCCAAAAATATCCCCAAACGACACTTAATAAATGTTTTATACATACTCTTACCCAATTGGACAAATTGTTGTTTTCCTCTTCCATGATCCTTTCCTAAATTACAAGAAGACAGAATAATTATGGATGATGTTTGATGCTATTCAAAATAATTGGTGGGGTTTGTGTGTTGTGTGTGTATTCGAAATATATGTAGTTATTATATATGTGACCTTCCTTCGCAGATTCTCCATTTGCTGTTGCAAGAGCTCATTCTGCCCGGAAAGCCATGTCAAATAATTAGTGATAATGATGGAATCATAAAAGTAATTAGGTAACTTACAAATAGGAGAATGTTAATAAGTTTAAGTTACGGATTCATAACAAAAAATAAAAAAGTTACAAGTATTTTTTTTTATCATAATTTTTAATATATTTTGTTGTCATTTTTCATATATTTTTTATTTACTTAATTAAATACCCTTAAGATATTTGTAGTAAAATTCTTACGAATTATATAATATCCTCAATGTTTTAGTTATTTTAACTCTCAAAAGTACATCTTGAAACAAATAAGCTGAGTTGGGATGAAAACAATATTTACCCTTTTTTTTCTTCCAAGTTTTAACCTTCAATAAGTAGGATTCAAAAACATTCCATAAGTATGACTGAAAATCACTCTTACAATCCTTTTCTCTAAACAGCACAATTTATGCGTGACATATGAAACGTTAAAATAAATATAATTTAACGTTTTTCATTCTAACTTAAATTGTAGGGTAGGGGAATCTATGCATTACAAAAAAAAAAAAAAACAAAAACAAAAACAAAAAAACCATGTTGTGTATAAGATTTAAAAATGACCAGAACATGAATATTTATTATTGAACTCAAATTACATGCCCTCCTTTTCTATTCCTCTAATTAAAGATAACACATCGATAAATTAAAAAAAACAAATAAGAGAAAAATGTTATTTCCTTTTATAATAACTTTTTATCTTTTAATTGAAGAAACGAGAAACAGAAAATGATAATAGAAGATTTCAGTCTCATATAATACCCATGCAAAATGCTTTATAGATATAAGCATATTAAATCAGTGAATGCTTTATATATAAGGTATAGAAATTGGATTTGTAACAGAGGAACACATAGAGAATAGAAACTACATTTGGCGACGGTAGTTAATTAAGGAAGGCTATGAGCAAACAATGATCAATTTGATATTTTAATGAAATAATTGATTTTTCTGAATTTAACATTAATCATGAATGTATTATTTTCGTTAAACATTGAGATAAAATGTCCATTATCACTTTCATGTTTTATATATATTACTACGCTCGATTAATTAGAAGAAGGAACAAGTATGGAATTAGCACTTACCTGACGGTTTCGAACTTTTGCCACAGAGTTCTCTAATTCTTGTTCAAGTTTAGTCAACTCTTCATATTGTAAACAGCCCATGTCCTCTCCAAGATAGCGTTGAATTCCCAATTCAAGACGGAGAGTTTCTTGCCTCAGCATTGCTATGTCATGGAATAATTCTTCCTACAAAATATTTGAGCAATGCAAGGAATTTACTTCAATTATTAATAACTAATATATGGGTATTGTATATATAACTTAATTCATGCAAGCTAGCTAGATAGATCCAATTAATTCATCACAATATTAACGAAAATTTAACACATGAACCTGTACCCGGGGGTGATCACGTTCCATTATGCGAGTTCCTGTTGATCTCTGGTACTTTTCTATTATCTGCTCCATCCTGATGCGAAATTAAAGTTTTCACGTTAATTATTTAATACATTAATAAAACCCACAATATATGCAAAAGCTTAATTATATATGTAATTAACTTCATATCTTGGGAAAATAAAACAAAACAAAATAGTTTCAGTATAACATTTTGGTTCCGGGGTGAAAATCTCTAAATACCCTAGTTAAATACTACATATAATGTACCTCAGTTTTGGTCTGACACGTTGAATGATCTACTTAAGAAGCTTATCAGATCTAACATGGGAATGTTAAAGTATTAATTGTAGGTCAATTGCACAGAATCGATGCAGGCAAAGAGATAACTTTATTTGATTTCATAAATATTAAGCTCGGGCGAGAAAAAAAATAAACGGTTCAGACATGAAAAGTTGGTTCCTTTTAAGAGTTTAGAGTACACTATATAATCACAAACATATATATGTGGTTGAAAATGAAATCTATAACCCACCACATGCCACCTGAGAAAACAAATCATAGCTTGAACTGATCAGATCTGTTATCACTTTGTCAGAATTGAACATCAAACTGTCCTCAAAGTCCAAGGCACTCAAGTGGGTCAACCTTACGTTTGAGAATGAAAAAGATCGATATAGACCTAAAACCTCCCTCCCAATCATATCTTACACACACATCACTTGTATCAATAAATTCTCTCTCATATGCACACACCCTAGAATTAGCACGCATTTGAGGAGAGAAATCAATCAGCTTCTTAAAAACTAATTAACACCGAGCATTTTGGAAGACTGAAAGAAGTATAGGAACCCATAACATTTTAAATGACAAATCAAAGTTTACAAGCAAGGGATCTGAGAAATGAAAGGAAGGTGAAGGTACCTTAAGGGTTCGGTGCAGTACTGGAACATCTTCCCTGTGCTGGAGAAGATGATGAGGCCGATCTGTGCATCACAAAGCACAGAAAGTTCATGTGTCTTCTTGATGAGGCCAGTTCTTCTTTTGGAGAAGGTGACTTGCCTTGTGGTGGTGTTCTGGATCCTCTTTATCTCAATCTTTCCACGTCCCATTTCACAAACCCTACCTTAAGTTCCTTCTAGCCTTTGTCCCTCCCTATGTATATTACCACATAAAGAAACAAATTAAAACGCAAAAATTATATATATGTATAATTGTATACCCACACACAGACACTTTTTTCTTCTTGGATATATATTTTGAGTGCTGAAAGCTTCCAATTTCAACCAGTAAAAAATCATAAAAATAAATGGTGGCTTCTATAGCTATTACTTACTAATAATTAACTACTAGTAATTAAGTAAACTGCAGATATTGGTTTTGGAGAAAAATGTATAATTTGTGGCTAGAAAAGAAATATATATATATATAATTGAAAACACAGAAGTTTCTTGATTAGGGCATAGCTTGTAAAGTGAGTGATTTAAAAGGAGACGCCATAAAGAAAATGTTCATAAGAAGGGGGGAGAGAGAGAGGGGGTGGAAGAGGAAGGGAGAAGATGTGTAGTTCAACAATTTGATACCTCAGATAACGTTCTTTCCTTGTAGAGTGAGATCGAGCTTGAGAAACTGCTATGTGTGAACTTCGATATATAACACACTAGCTAGCTATTAATACCATGAAATATATAAAGGCTATTTCTGAAGCCTATGTTCAAGTCCGAAACTACCACAATGCCTTTTTGCACTTGGCATGAAAATGGAGAGAGGGAGAAAGGGTATCAGCGTCATTTCCCTTTAGTGATAAACGCGGTGGCTGACGCCAATGTGCCATGCAGGTCCACGCCAAAGATGAATTGAATGCATTTTTTTTTATCATAACAAATGCGTTTTATTTGAACAACGTTAATTGTACGCGTTTTATTTTTGGAGTGAACCGGTGAAAAGAAAATTAGATAAAAATAGAAAAAAATACAACAAATAATGTGATGTGATAATTTACAAAAAAAGAGAGGTAAAAGCATTGTATATAAAACATAAGAATATTATTGTTGTTTTTATTTATGAGTATATGAATGGAATGAGAAAATCAACACAAATGAGCGTCGCATGAAGGGCATTTCATGTAATATTCTGGAAAGGCAAGGCTTCTAGAGTCATCTCGCAATGTATGGACAGAAGGAGTTGTTGCAAAACCAAACCACAATTATTCGTCGGTCTAAAGTGAAATATGAACTTTACCACAATAGGCAAATGGTGAGAATATTAAGGTTACCATAAATGGATCCTCGAGACACATTTAGAAACGACAAAGAATCAGAATCCCTGTGCACAACATTCATTGGCACATGTGCTTGTATTAAGTGGCTTATTACTCTTTGTCGACGAGAGACCAACTACGTTTGAAAGTGAAAATAGTTTTCACAATGTGCGATCTGTATGCATATGTGGCTCGATAGCCCCACTTTGCATCACTCTTTCTATCGTCAATATGTGCCGTACCTTGTTTATTACCCCTCTCTAAATTAACAATTATAATAGATAACACAGGCCAATTATTATTGAGAACATTGGAGGACTATATATTCATCCAAATTGATCCCTTGTGGGCTTTTTCAACATCAGTTTTTTGTTTACTTTGGCCAAACATTTTAATGAGGCAACTAACGTGTAAATTAACCATACGACCATATGAATTGAAATATATATGGAGAATTAATTTAACATATTTAAACTTCAATTCTTAGTAGTTTCGATTGAATAAACCAATTTGATTTTACGGTCTTATTGTACAACAATTATTTTGTCATGAATATAAAACAGTTATTGTGATGAAAAGTTTAGGAATGGAACAAAATGATGAAGAGCTATAAAGCAAGAAGATAAAAATAAATGGGCTAATTTGGTTGGCATATTGATTGATCTCTGCATGTATTAGTTAAACGCCACCAAAATTCTCTTCATCATAATAATGATCAAATTTTATCTTTTCTAAATGATGTATTCAAGGATTAACTCTAGAATTTCGTCTGAATCTTTCTCGTAGGGGGACCAAGGAGACATTATCTTAATATTTATTTATAGGTTTTAGTTATGTTTAATTCGATTTATATCTTTCTGTGTTTTTTTTTCGCGTAATATTAATATTCAGATATTTGATATAAGGATATACCCGAGTTTTTAATGTTAGTCATTTTGTCAAAATATAGGGTGAGTTTCTTCGAACAAGATGAACTCAGTAATTCGTCATCGGTACAATGGAAACAACGACCATATATACCTCAAAATGCACATGTATAATCCACTCCACCCACCTCCCTCGGTCCTATAAATTTTCTCTCAACACATTTTTTTTATCAAGCTTTCAACGTTAGAGTGTTAGAGAATAGAAAGTTTCACCTTAATAGGTTAACAACAAATCAAAAGGGTATATAAACGTAGTATGTCACTCAAAATAAGTCACTCTCTCTCACTTTTAAATTGATTCCACATATATTCAAAATCTTAATATAAGTCACAACTAAGTCTAAGCTAGTTAAACTTGAGAGAGAGTATTAAATAAATAAAAAATGTCACATTGATAGATTAAATAAGAAGATCTCAAGTCTAAATTGCTTAAGACATTTTAGACTAGTAGGTCATTTAAATTTAAGCTCAATTGCTTTCTCTAGACTTAGATTAGGTACATATTTAAAATCTTAATTTAGGCTAAAAATATAAATGTTGATATGATAAAGGAAAAAGAAACTTAGTCAAATTGCTTATTATAGCTAGACATTGTTGAAAAAATAAAGCAATTAATAAAGTTACCTTATTAAATATATATTTATGAATTTTCAAGTTCTTTAATAATTTCCTTGTGTGTGTACCTCAAGTTTATTATCTAGTAGATTTTAAGAATTGTATTATTTAGACATATGTAGCTTATCAAGAGGTGTCTTGTATATTTATAAATAATTATGCATAGCATTTGCATGTAAGCTAAAAAAAGGTTAAGAAATAAAATCAAGAGTTTCTAAGAAAAGTTTGAGTGTTATCTCATTTCCTTCTCCACCTATTTCTTTTTTTTTTTTAACCTTTTTTCAAAGTGAGATCAAAGCCAAGTTTAATTTTAGTAAAAATGTTCAATTTTTCCATTCCAATCCCTAGACTCAAAAGATAATTGTGATAAATGGTGTGCTCGTATAAAAGCAATTATTGGCTTCAATGAGACTTGATGGATGGTAAAACAAGGATAAAAATAATGAATACCAAACCAATGAAAGAACTTTGAATCAACAACAAAGAAACACTTTGCAAGGAACCACGAAATGGATCAACAATATGCTTTTAGCATCATTCATTCGATATTAGATGATGAAATATTGTTGGGGAATCCTTTAAAAGACTCGTAAAATGAATTAGATAAAATGAACAATGTGCGCCTTTGAATTTTGAGAGGTGAATTTGCATGCTTGCAAATGAAAAAGTTTAACACCATTCATGATTATTTTACAAAAGTCTTGGCAGTTTCCAAATAAGGAGATGTAATGAAAATTTACTTGCTTATGTGGTGAAGAAAATTATTATAACTCCTAATTTTATACTTGATCTTGTTTCAATAATCTTTGAACAGTTCAAAAATTCAGAAGCCATGATTGTTAATGTACTATAAGGATCTTTACAAGCCTCTGAAGAAAGATTAAAGGAGTTTCTAGTTCAAGCATTTCAAGCAAAAGTATCTTTGAAAAATTAAGAGCAATAATGTTATAGCCTTCAAAGAAAAGAAAGAGATCAAAATCAAGGTTTAAAGAGATATAAATTATGGTGGTAATTTTAAACTTTTGTGATCATTATAAACTACAAATCTCACACTATATAAGTAAGGCCTCCATTTAGAGCAAAAATCATTCCAACCTAATCTAGAATATTTATTTTAATATTTTCTTTTAGAAGAGTTATTTATTTTATGAAATGCAAAATTTACTATATTTAAGTGTGTTTTGTTTTATACGTAAAACAATATTTTTGTTCATAATATTTATTTAATAAATTATATTTTTTATTTTTTAACCATTTTTTCATTCCTATTATCTTAATGAAAAGTAGGATATACAAAATTGAGTATTCATATATGACTTCAACTTTTTTACATAATTTAAAGAAATAAAAGAATTGGTTACACCAAAGTCATATAGTATATTTATGCAAAATCCTTTTATGAAAAACATGTCTTGTATAAAGTGTTTAGATTGAGAAGCTTTCTCTTTATTAAGAATATATACTGATAAATCTATATTTTATTAATATTTTAGTTTAGTTTTTAACAATTATTAAATAGTTAAGTTGATTAGTAAAGTTGAAAGTCACATAAAAAATGCTTTGATGTTCAATGTTTCTTAAGTAGTTTAGTTGTTTTAGATTTGATCCAAATTTTCATATAATTTGCTAATTAGAATGAATTTGTCCAGAAAGTATGAACTAGAGGTTATGAAACTGAGAATCAAAGGAAGAAAATAGAAGAAAGTGGAAGAATTGGACTTAAAATGTGAAAAATCAAATGACGAATTCTGAAATTATCACCCTAGGCGCATAAAGTGATAACTCTCAAGTGAATTCAACAAAATAAAGTGAAAGTGTTTACTTTAAGTGTTCAAAGTGAACACTCCAGAGGTGTAAATTCAAGTGAAGCCTGCACGTAAATATACTTCAGAAGTGAAAATTCAAAAGTGAATACTTCAGAAGTGTAATTTGAAAGTGTTTACTTTATTAACTTGGCTTTGACCCTAACATTCAAAGTGAATACTTTAGAAGTGAAAATTCAAAAAAAGTCTGTGCGTAAACACTTAAAGTATTCAAAGTTAATACGCACAGGCTTGTTTTCCAAAAGAAGGTTGCACGGTAACACTTTGAGCGTTTAAAGTTAATACATGCACCAACAAGAGCTGAGCATTACCACTTTCTACACATGAAGTGTTTACTCAAGAGAAGCTTTGACCTAAAGAAGGTTGCGCGTGTTTACTCTATGTGTTTGAAGTGTCAACACGCATGACAAAACTTTGAAAAATCACATAAAGTATTCACTCTAAGTGTTTAAAGTGATCACCTCAGCTTAGAAATATTCCAGAAGACC